GGGGCTGGGAGTCGGGAGGTGAGCGGGCTGGTGGGGCCTGGGAGGTACGGGGTGCCCCGCCTCACTGCAGGGTTTTAGTCCTGGTGGCTCTGCTTACGGTGACAAGCAGGTGGGAATCAGGCAGAGGGCTGGCCTGGGTTCTGACCCCCTAGTACAGAGGTGAGAGCCTCACCAGGAGTGGGCTCTTCCCCAGCTGCTGTGCGCCCCTGGGCAAAGCACTGCCTGCCTCTGGCCTCAGTCTCCTCGCTCCAAGTCCAGCCTGGGCCAGGAGGTCTCTGAGGTCCCTACCGTTCCCATGTGCTCAGCTGTTCTTGGCAAGTGGCTGTGGCTTCCTGCCCCGGCCCTGCAGGTGGAAGCACTGGCTTGGCGGGCGGCAGCTTGAAGCTGGCACATGGCAGCTGGGTGCTTGCCAGGGGGCTGGGCAGCTGGCGTGTGGAGTGAGGGGCTTGCCAAGGGGGATCCAGGAAGGCCTAGGGGCCATGGGGAACCCCAGGCTCCTCCACTCCCCCCCTCCTCATGATCCTGTGCTTGGAGCCGGGATGTTGGAGGGTTCCAGCCTCTGCCCAGAGGCAGGGAGTGTGCTTGTTCCTTGCTGCCCGGGTTTGATTTGATTGTATTTACTATCAGTGAGGACTCATGGATTCACATTTTATCTAATAAGAGACCTTGGGGGAAAGGAGTAGGGTGTGAACTGCTCCTCCTTGGTGGAGAGGTTGGAAGAGGGTGCCCAGGGGAGTTGGCCACAGTCCCCATGGTGATGGAGCCATGCTGCAGGGGACACAGGACTGGCGGGCATGGTATGTAACCCAGGATCTTCCCAGGGGTGTGGAGAGGCTGCAGGAGATGGGGGTTAACAGAGACCCAGTGACCCAGGCCTTCCCTTTCTCTGGCCGAGAGGCTCTGGACACAGACCAACTGCAGTCCCACTTACTGGCTGTGAACTCTGTCAGGCGACGTAGGTCCTCTGAGCCTCAGAATCCTCATCTGTAGGGTGGGGCTGTTAGCACCTGCCTCTGGGTGTGAGGATTCATTGAGTGCCCTCCCAGCCACTCCAGTCCTCTCTGGCTATGGAACCCATAGCCAGATGCTGTGCCACCCACTACTGGGAGCTTGTGTCACCCCAGGAAAGACCCTGACGAGCCAGCCCTGTATGCACTGCTCTGGGGTCCACTGAGCAGCCATGTTGACAATTGGGTGGCAGTGCAAAGGGGCCCCATTGGCACTTGGTTTCTCACCCTGGGGGCAGTGACAGCAGTGGGTGCTTACCCCAGGTCAGGTGCTGTGCCCAGACATGCCCCAGGTGTCCCTTTGACTCCACACCCCAGCCCCTTCCCCATGTGGCATTGGTCATGATACAGTGGATGGGCTGAAGGGGTGGCTGAGGGAGACAGGTGGCCTGTGGTCAAACCCCTGCTCTGCCTTGACTGTGTGACCTTGGGGAAGCAACTTAACCTCTCTGCGCCTCAGTTTCCTCATCTATATATTGGGGCTGTGCTGATGATGCTGACCTCAGGTGAGTGTAACGTAACATCTGCAGAGAATCATTCAACATGGGTTAGACACTCCATATGTTCGTTGAGCTCTGCATAACCCCAAACTCTCTTCCAGCCCCTGCCTTGTGGTTGTAAGAGTGTCACACCCACACTCTCGTCTCAGGTGCCTGCAACTCTCACATTCTAGCTGACAGAGCTGTGGTCACCTAATTCTCCCTTCACCAGTGAAAGGAGCAAGCAAGATATGCCCTGGGCATTGGGCAGGGCATCTAGAACCTCCTGTGGAGCATTGCCTGGAAAGATTCCTTAACTGAAGAGATTGTCTCTGTTGGAGGACAGTGAACTCCCACCCCTGCCCCTCTCCCCTCTGCCCCTGGGCCTCCTCCCTCCTGCAGCCAGGTGGCTCACCCACACCCCATCCAGCCTCCTCCTCTTGTCCATCTGTCTCTCCAGATGGGGGAGAAAGGTTGCAATTGGCCCACTTTCTAACTAGAAAGCAACCATATGGAGGGCTTAGCTGGAACTGACTGTCTACCGTCTGCCATTAGTACCGGGCCAGCGCTGTGGGCAATGGACTGGGTCCCTTGGACTCTCCCTGTGACCCAGGATTGAGGGGGCTCAGTCCTGCCCAAGGACCCGCATTCCTTCTCTCTTCTCCTTCCCCATGAGCTCCTGACCATGCTCTTCTCTGGAGCTTGGGAGTTCTTTGCATGCCTTAGGAGAAAAGTGAGGTACTTGGTCTGCCTGGAAGAGGCAGAAAGTCAGGGAGGTGGGTGCTGGTCAGGGTGGGGGCAGGGGCGTGGCTGCCTTGTTTGCTGCAGAGGAGCAGGGAGTCCACTTCCTGGGGGCAGGGATGTGACAGTGTGTATGTTGTGTGGCCCCAGGCTCAGCAGGCACCTGGCATGGAGCTGCCCCCTTTCTACTCCCCATACATTGTTCCCCCCAGAGTGGCCCCCACCTGGCTGCTTATGCCTCCTCCCTCCAAGACCCAACTCAAGGTCACGGCCTTTGGGCAGCCTTCCCTGGTTACCAACTATGCCCATGGGTAGAGGCTGTCCTTGGGTGGAGCTGGGTGTTGGCACCTTTCCCCATGGGGCTGGTGGGTGGGTTGTGTCCCCCTGCACAGTGAGCCCCTTGCAGCCCAGGCCTGGACACAGAGGTGCAGGGAGCTGTGCAGAGGCCTCAGGTCACCCAAGCCTGGACAGAGAGGCCATTTGGAGGCCCAGGGGTGCCCAGCCGTGTTTGAGGAGGAGCTGGGCCAAGACTCTTGAGTGAGACTCAGAGGAGGGGGCCAGTCTTAATAGAGGGTCTGGCTCCATTAAGATAATCTCTTATGCTTTTCCTTCAGCTGAGCCCCGACTCTGCCACAGAGGCCCTGGGGCATCTTATTCCCTGGAGGGGATAGCCCTCTGTACCCTGGCAGGACAGGGAACCGTGTGACTTTGGGCAAGCCACTGCTCTTCTCGGAGCCTCAGTTTCCTCATCTGTCAAACTCAATTGATGATAGAAACATGGTCCACAAGTGCTTTTGTATCAGATCAAGATTTGAATACCTGAGTGGCACCTGCCTTTCGCAGGTGCTGGAGGGACAGTCTGGGGTTGGGAACTGGCTGGGGAGGTGTAAGGGCTCCTGCGCCGCCAGCCTGGCTGTGAATTCGGCTTCTTGCTGCAGAAGGCTGGCCCTGGGTCCCCTCCCCTAGGACCCAGATAAGGAGGCAGTGGGCTGTAGTGACAGGGGGGCTCCCAAAGACGCCACAGTCAGAGCTTCTCGGGTCACACCTCCTGCCCTCAGAATGGCCTTCCCAGGCTCCCTTGAGCTCCCTGCTGGGAATCTGACGAATAAGAGGGGGAGGCTGAGGTGTGAAGGCATCAGCCAGGCCAGCGTGGGAGCTGGAGCAGGAGAGCCTACACACTGCGGGCCTGGGAGTGCGCAGGAAGGAACCTGGGAGACCTGGGCGATAACCAAGCTGCGTTTGCAGCATCGCGGCCCAGGGTGTGCGGGCACTAGCCAGCAGCCACGCATGCTGCTCATTCGAGGGGCCTGCTCATGAGCACAGGGCCTGGGACAGAGCCTTGGGAGGTGTGTGTGGGTGTGAGTGTAGGCGGCACTGATGGCCCACAGTGGGCAATTTGCTGTCATCCTCAGATTCACTCCTCTAGAAAACCTGATGATATGGTTATAATGAAGATAATCAGTGTTTACTAAGCACTTACTATATGCCAGATATTATTGTATTTATGTGCATTAACTTAGCTTTATAACAACCCTATGAAGTGGGTGGTATTATTATTATTTGAGGCACAGAGAGGTTCAGTAACTGCCCTGAGATCACAGAGCAGTAAGTAGCAGAGCCAAGATTTGAACCCAGGCAGACTAGATCCTAAACACAATGCTGTATTGCCTCTTGCTTGTTTTAAATGGGAAACTGAGGCACAGAGAACTTAAGTGACATGTCCAGGGCCACCCAGCTGGCGAGTGGTGGAACCCTGGGCAGCTCCCAGCCTTGCACTCCTGGAGTATGAGTTGGAGGGTGAAGGGAGGTTGGGACTCCTGCTCCCCCGTCCACCCCAGGCTGACTGGCCCCCTTCCCACAGGGGGCGTGTGCATCGCCCAGTCAGTGAAGATACCTCGGGAGCCCAAGCCAGGGGAGTTTGACAAGATCATCAGGCGCCTTCTGGAGACCTCAAATGCCAGGGGGATCATCATCTTTGCCAATGAGGATGACATCAGGTGAGGAGGGGGGCAGTAGGGCAGGGGTGGGGAGCCAGGGATCCCTGCTGGTGACCCTCCTAGACAAGTGTGACCCCAGCCTGGGATCCAGAGGGGTAGGGTGGGCAACTGAGTGTGGGGCTGAGACAGCCCTCAGGCAGGGCCACAGGCTAGTGCTAATGGGCGCCCTGCTCTTCCCCCTCCCTGTGCTCTGCATCCATTCTCCTGGCCAGGGATGGGAAACAGATACTGTAATGGAGGGGCTAAGGCCTTGGGCTTGGGGCCAGAGCGCCTTGGTTCTAGTCCTGCTCTCTTCCCTACTAGCTCTGTGACCTCAGGCAAGTTTTTCAACCTCTCTGGGCCTCTTTTCTGCTTAGAAAAGGAGCTAATGATGCCTGCCTGATAGTGTCTGAAAGCTGAATGCAGGGATGGCATAAAGGGCTTAGAGCAGTCTGGCATGCAGTAGGTGCCTAATGCATGGCAACCACCTCACAGGACCTCCTTCCTTTTTTTTGCTGAGCTCAGAGCAGTGAGAAAAGGCCTGGGCTGTGGTTCTAGTCTTGGCTTGGGGACACAATCACTGTGGGTAGTATTGTCCCCTTCCCGGGCCTCAGAGTTTGCATCTGGAGAATGGGAACAGGTGGACTCTGGGTGCCAGGACCATGCAGGGCAGAAACCCTGGGCCAGCCCACAGCTCTGCACATCTGCCCCTGGGCCATGAGTCACAGATCTGAAACTTTAAAAGATGACCCCTGAACCCCCTCCTAACTTCCTTCCCCTTTCCCTGCCTTTTCCCTGTTACTGCCTCTTGGAGACTGGATGTCAGGGCCAAGATGGACCAGGCCTCTGTGATTCCCCAGTCTGAGGGGAGACAAAGCCCTGCTCAGAGTCTGGTGGGGGAGGCACCCCTGCATTTGCAGAGTAGGGTGACACAGCAGCCGTGACGCTCCCCAGGCCTCACCCATAGGTAGCTGGCTGAGTTGCAGAGCTGCTGTGCCCTCAGGCCTCCCCTGCTTACTGGTCCGCACCCATCTGCCCCCTCCATGTAGCTAACAGGCATTCTCTCTGGGTCCTATTCTTTCCAATACTTTTCTCACTTGGTAAAGAACTCACCCTGGACTCCTGAGTTACAGGAGAGAAGATTTCCCGAGTAGATGTTGCTAGGTCCCTGCAGGATCAGAAGCCTAAAGACCAGCTCTAATGGAGGGAACTCTGGGAACAAAGGACCAGGGGTGGCTCAGAGTCCACCAGCTCTGAGCTGAGCACAGAGCTTGCTCCTGACCCCCTCAAAGCTTATCGGTGCGTTAATTCTGGCTCTGGAGGTTCCTATTGCCCACAGGTCAGCCAGTCTTGGGGGTGGGGGTGGGGAAGAGGGGTGGTAGAGGGGATGGGACCCCTTCTGAGCTCTTTTTCCTCACTTCAGCCACCAGTCCCTACACTCCTGCCGCCCACTCCCACCCCACAGCCTAGCACTAGTCAGGTCTCGTCCCCACCCAGGTATGCCCCCACTCCGGCCTCCTGCTCAGCTCAGATGGACCCTGAGCTGGGAGGGCGGGTGAAGGCACTGTGCCAAGTATCCCAGAGAAGGGGCCCTTGGAGGAGGGGAAGTGTGCTGGGAGGTGGGGGCATTTCTGGAAATCCACATGCATTTCCAGAAGCAAACAGAAGTAAAAATAAACCCAGGTGACTTTGCAGGGATGGAGGCTTGGTCATTTCTGGCTGGCAGGATGCAAGCGGGTATTAATAGGGCTGTGGGTGTGGGTTCTGAGAGCAGCCACACCAATGGTGAGTATGCCCTGGGGGCAGCCGCAGCAAGTTTGGGGGTCTGGAGATGGGAAGGGGGAAGGTGTGGGCTCTGGGGCCTGGAAATGTTTCTCCGTGGCAACCCTAGGCTGTCCTTCCCACTGGGTCGCCTTCTGTACAGGCCCAGCAGCCACCCCAAGCCCTGGAGCTGTGTCCTGGCTCTCACCCACGGGAGGGGCCTAGCCAGTTTCTAGTATCCTGGCCTCTCGCTTGCTGTGTGAACTTGAGCAAGCTGCTTGCCTCCTCTGTGCTCCAGTGGTAGGAGCTGGGTTGTGGGAATTCCTCCCAGTCCTCCCTGTTTTTCTCCTCTTAGAACATGTCTTTGAGGGGCTACTTAGTTCCTGCATCTGTTAAGCACTGACTGAGCACCTCCTGGGGTCTCAGCCCTGTGCTGGCTCAAGGGTCCCTGATTTGATTAAAACCATGCCACAGTAGGGGTGAGCACATCCAGGAGGGTGTGGGGAGCAGCTCTTTGCAGGACCTGGACTCAGACACAGAAGGAGGTGGGGTGAGGGGGCACTGCTGGCAGGGGAGCAGCAAGTGCAGCGGGCTGTGTGTGTACATGTGTGCATGTATGTGTGTGCATGTAAATGTGAGAAGGGATCAAGAGATATGGGTGTGGGTTTAGGGTGAGGGTGGCTTGAACATGAAAGGACAGGGGTTGGGCAGATAAAGTTCTGGGAGCCTGGGTCAGATACAGGGCAGGTAGACTTATGGAAGCAGGTCTGGTCTTTGCAGGGACAGATGTGGCCCTAGGGGACAGGAGTGAGATTGAGGGAGCACATGGGGCCTGTAGGCAGGCATGGGCCTAGGGGATAGGCGGGGGCTGGGGTCTATGTGTGGTATGGGTGAGAGGGGTACCTGTGGACGTGTGGCAGTTGTGGGCCAGGGCCAGAGGGAACTATGGGCCTGGGGGGACAAGCATGGATACTGGGGCAGCTGTGGGCCCTGGGCTCATGTGGGCCAGCGGTGGGGGATCCAGGCATAGCCTGGGGGACATCATGGGCTGTGAGGGCGACAGGTGTGTGCCAGGGAGGCGGTGGTCCGCCAACAGCCCACCTGTGGGTGTGGCCAGGGTGGGGCAGTTGCCTGGACAGACATGGCCAGGCTGGTACGTGTTCCCACAGGCGTGTGCTGGAGGCAGCACGGAAGGCCAACCAGACAGGCCACTTCTTCTGGATGGGCTCGGACAGCTGGGGCTCCAAGATCGCACCTGTGCTGCACCTGGAGGAGGTGGCTGAGGGCGCTGTCACTATCCTCCCTAAGAGGATGTCCGTGCGAGGTAGGCCCAGCAGGTCGATGGCATGCTTACCACTCACCTGCCACCACTGTCAGCCTCAGCCCTAACTGTTCCTTCTCACTGTCCCCCTGCAGCTCCCTTCCTCTACCCCACATCCGGCCTACCTTCCTCCTTGGCCCATGGCCTTTGTGTTGACTTTCTGGCCATTCAACCTAGCAGGATGAATCCAGATTCAGGGCTTTTCTCCCCCCCTTCTAGATATTTCTGGGTGTGGGAGACATGTGGCACATACAGAAGGCTCATTGGTCAAGCACTCTCCATCCCCATATACTCTCATCCGTTTTCTGTCTGGAACAAGGCCCTTGGGTCCTCTGCTGGAAGGGCTGGGAGCTGCCAGCAGGCAACAAGAAGAGGGTGCTGGGCAGGGGTAGGGAACTCCCTGCAGGACCTGCCTGGGGCTGGCAGGCCCTGGGTGGTATTTGGGTTGGGCCTGCCCTGCTTAGCATCCCTTCTTCTTGGGACAGAACTCACAGTGACCCTGGACAGGAACAGACCGCTGTGGCCGGAACCTTGCTGTGAGTAAGGCGTGAAGTTCCCATTAATGGCCTGATTTGCCAGGGACCTCACTGTCCTCACCACAGGGGAGACAGGCAGGCTCCCAGGGCCTTCTCCTCTGCTTTTGCTCTGTCTGATGGAAAGGCCTGCAGACATCTGTCTCCACCAAACTTTCCAAGAGACTGAGGCCTGAGCAGGGGAGGGACTTGCTCAAGGTTACACAGCCATGTCCTCTATTCACCCCAGGAGAGGGAGCACAGGCGGGCATTTCCACACTACCCCTCCCAGCCTCAAGCCATAATAACACAAAATAACAATAACTGTGGCTATTGGTACCTACAAATGCCAGGCCCTTTACAGACATCTCAGTTAGTCCTCCCAGCAACCATGTGCGCTGCCAGGAGCTCACATTTAGTAGATGAATACACTGAGGCTCGTAGACGTTAAGTGACATACAGTGACCATTACGTGGCAGAGCTGGGATTTGAACCCAGGACTTGCCTGACAAGCCTCCTTTCTCTCTGGACCTTAGAGAAGCCTTTAGAGCAGTGGTTCTCATGTGACCGTACTTTTGACCCTGGGGGGACATTTGGCAATGTCTGGAGACAGTTTTGATAGTCACGACTGGTGGGTGATGCTGCTGGCACCTAGTGGGTAGAGGCCAGGAATGTAGTTCAACATCCTGCAATGCACAGGCCAGCCCCTCCCCCCAACAATGAACGATGGGGCCTAAAGAGTAGTGCCGAGGTTGAGAAATGCTGCTCTAGGCCAGCCCCTAACCAATGCCAGCATTTCTCCTGCAGCTAACAGACGGTCATTGAGCCTCCACCTGGACCCTGCCACAGACAGGAAGCTCACCATTCGGTATGGGCCCCATTGAGCTTTCAGGCCTCCTGGCCTGTCCCAAGCAGCCGAGTCAACTGTGCACATTACACGAACTGTCATCGATGAAGGAGGGGTGTCGGGTGGAGAGAGAGGGCATTGCTCACCCGCCAGCCTGCCCACCCTGTGGCAGGGTTTTCTGGACTTAGAGCAGAGGTGGTGAGTCCCCAGGAGCACACAGAGGAGGAGGCTGCATCTATCAGTGACAGGCAGTTCTGGCTTTGAAGGTAGAAGATCCAGCTCCCGGTCTTGCTGTGTAACCCAGGTTACCCCGGCCTCTCTGGTTCCGGCTCCTGTTCAGAACCAGAGAGCTCAGGTGCCTCTCGGTTTAGGCACCAGGTCCCCCAGCCTCCCTCTGCTCCAATCCTAGGACCTGCAGGCAGTTCCTTCTCAAAGAGGGCCGATATTAGCATTTGGTAGTAAAAAGGCGGCAGAAACATCTCCATCTTACTTCTCTTCCATAAAAGCAGCAGTTGAAAGATTACACACGCTCCCCCTGGGACTTCATACAGCGCTTTTCATTTAGAATGAGATGAAATGCTCCACATTTTGTTTTTTCCACCCGGGCCCTGGATCAGAGGATGTGCGCTCCTCCCTCCCTCCCCCTAAGCTGAGGGAAGCAGGAAGGGCGGGGGGCAGGTGGAGAAGGGGTTCGGGAGGCCCTGACGCCCGGCTTCCCTGCTTCCCTGCCAGGCTTCGACCGCTACTTCTCCAGCCGCACGCTGGACAACAACCGGCGCAACATCTGGTTTGCCGAGTTCTGGGAAGACAACTTCCACTGCAAGCTGAGCCGCCACGCGCTCAGGAAGGGCAGCCACGTGAAGAAGTGCACCAGTGAGCAC